AAAAAATATAGTGTAATTACTGCTATAATAGTCACACCATTTACTTCTCCCCTTACCCTGGTACACCATAGCTGTACCAACACCCAAAGACTGGTATAACCTTCAATACACCTGAAACATATTGGAACTCAAATTCTGGTATAATTACCTACTTTAACCATTCTAAAAGCTAACCTGCGGTTATAACCGCAAGGAAAAGGTGCAATATCTTATACCAGTACCAGTACCAAACAACCTGTATAATTACCAATATTCTGGAACTATATTGAAACGCATGTAAATTGGTATACGTTATTACCAATGCACCTGAACCACATTGACTGATATGATTACCAATAGACCTGAACAACATTGAGCCCCAAAAACTGGTATAATTACCAATACACAGGAACCACATTAAACCCGAAGACTGGTATTAATACCAATACACCTGAAACACATTGTCTAGTATAATTACAAATACACTTGAACCACATTGAACACAAACATTGGTATTTATACCAACATACCTGAAACCATTTGACTGATACGGTTATACCATTACACCTCAAACACATCAAACCCAAAGACAGGTATAATTACTGTACCAATATACCTGAACCACATAGAACCCAAAGTCTGGTATTATTAACAATACACTGGAACCACATTGTCCAAAATGATTACAAATACACCTCAACCACATTGAACCCAAAGACTGGTATTATTGCCCATACACTTGAACCACATGGAACCCAAAGACCGGTATTAATACTAATACATCTGGAAAACATTGACTGATATGTATGCACCTGAACCACATTATGCCCCAAAAAATGATATAATTACCATTGCACCTGAACCACATTCAACCCCAAAAACCAGTATAATAATACCACTTCACCTGAACCACATTGAACCCCAAAGGCCAGTATAATTACCAATACACTTAAACACTAAAGACTGGTATCATTAACATTTGAACCACAATAAACCTCAATACCAGTATAATTACCAATGCACTTGAACCAAAATGAACCCCAAATACCAGTATAATTAACAATATTTTATTGAACTACCTAAATGGATTCTAGTACGGTAATTTGATTGGTTGATTTTGTACCATGTGACATTAGTTATTTTGCCAATTCATTGCTCATCGTTGAATCAAATTTTGTTCCACTGTGAATTTTTTCCCGTCCGAATCTTCCATATCACGTAGTCTATGGATACACAATGACTTAAAAAGACACGGGACCAAATTTTTCCGGATTCCATTAAAATGATGTCATGCCACCTATAACCTTTCTCGGGCCTACAATTTGTCTTGCAGTGTGCAATGTATCGGAGATTTTGTTTACTGTAAAGGGCTGTAAAGTATTTTAATTGCGTGGATGATACCTCAAAAACTAGCTCAAACTTGCGCAAAATCTGTGCGGAATTCAGCTTTTATTTTCCAAAATGTGCTAACAGATTTCTAGCCTAGCCCTAGGCCTAGGTTTTGAGCAGAGGATAGGCTAGGCCAGGCTAGCTAGGCCTAGGCCGAACCGATCTATGGTGTGTTATAAAACAAATAATGAATGTTTTGTATTCGTACGATGGAAAGAATATTTTCATTCGTTGAAAAGTTGACTGTTCCATTCAACTCGGCTCTGACTCATTGAATGAAACAGTCAATCTTTCAACTCATAAAAACTCTTCTTAGTTCATTCATAAACATTCATTATTTGTATAATATTGAACACTAAAAGAATTTGGTTTATGTGAAAATATTGCATTAATTATTATTGCATAAATATTGATATTTTTTTTTTATATATAAAATGCATCCAATAGATTTATTGTTCAAAAATATTTGTATTAATATTTAATTATTATTATAAAAACAAAATATTTTACCATTCTTTGTTTGAATTAGAAGAGGGTGATTAGGTATCTTCTGTTAATGTTTTTTGAAGGTAGCCAAATAATGGAGTGATACATTCTTATCAGATTTTATAAAACAATATTTTTGTACATATTTTGGTTACCAAGATTTTGACCAGTCATTCAATCATAACTTGATATATCCTATATTTTTTGAATATAGTAAAAACTTAAATAGAACAACCTCAATTATTTTAAACTTTTCAAAGGACCACCATTTCCCCACTCCCAGCTAAAGGAAACTTTGTCCATTAAAATTTCACCCAAACTACATGCAGGGACCATTCCATTAAAATACCACATTTTCTCCTACTCTTTTAATAGAGTGTCTACAGTATTTTATAATTATCTTCTGGAAAGTTGTTAATATCCGCTAAAAATGCATTAATTAATACTCAGGTGGTTTTTTTTTTGTTTAGCAAAGAAAAGCTTCGTGGTCTTAATGTAACTCTTATTTTTATTATATTATATTTTTAGATTCCGTTTTTTTTTTAATTCTCTGTAAATTATTGTGTTACACTTAAATGATTAGAATAATATTACCAGTTTTGAGAAATGAAGTAAAATTAATAGATTTAATTCGTACCTCTAAAATTGAATTTCATTTTCATTTTTATTTTTATTTTTTTGTTAAGCAAAGAAAAGCCTGTGGTATTACTATATCTTTTATTTGTATTATAGTATATGTTTAGATTCATATTTTTTTTTGTTTCTTTGTAAATTATTGTGTTGCACTTAAATAATTAGAATAACGTTACCAGTTTTGACAAATGAAGTAAAATCAATAGATTTAATTTGTACCTCTAGGCATCCTGTTAAAAAGTCTTTTGAAGAAAATGATGTGCACGAATGATTATGAATTTTAATGATTTTATTTTTTTGAATGCACAGACCATAGCAAAGAGATTGTTAGAGTCGAAGCAGACAATTCCACATTACTACCTCACTGTTGACGTTGAGATGGACAATGTACTACAGTAAGTTCTTTGTTTAAATGGAGGATGGCCTACCCTAGCAGCCATTAACTTTTGGAAAAAAAAAAGTCAAAGATATACAGGTTTCCCTCCAATTAAAGACCGCTTTTGGCACTGGAGTTTTCATGGTATTTTGCAGCTTTGGTCTCTAATTAGAATAATGAATATAAATCACATTTGTTAATATGGGACCACAGAAAAGTGGTCTTTTATTGGAGGTGATATTAAATTGGAGGGCCTCCAATTAAAATGATAAATATTGACATTCGGAGGTCTCTAATTGGAATAATAAATATTAATGAAATTTTGTAACATGGGACCACAGAAAAGTGGTCTTTTATTGGAGGTGATCTTAAATTGGAGGGCCTCCAATTAAAATGATAAATATTGACATTCGGAGGTCTCTAATTGGAATAATAAATATTAATGATATTTGGTAACATGGGATCACAGAAAAGTGGTCTTTTATTGGAGGTGATCTTAAATTGGAGGGCCTCCAATTAAAATGATAAATATTGACATTCGGAGGTCTCTAATTGGAATAATAAATATTAATGATATTTGGTAACATGGGATCACAGAAAAGTGGTCTTTTATTGGGGGTGATCTTAAATTGGAGGGCCTCCAATTAAAATGATAAATATTGACATTCGGAGGTCTCTAATTGGAATAATAAATATTAATGATATTTGGTAACATGGGATCACAGAAAAGTGGTCTTACATTGGAGGTGATCTTCAATGGGAAGGCTCTTTAATGAGAGGGAGACCTATGGAGACGTGTACTTTTTATTAAAATTGGGAAAAACTCAAACATTCAATTTAAACATTAGGCTGCTTTGTAAAATGATCAAATTAAAAGATATAATAATATTTCAATAATGACTACATTGAAAAAGTTCAGTTTCTCTTGATTTATACTTGTTTTGTGGTGGTGGTCCTTAGTTGGTTTTCATTGTATATTTAATGGTTTGAATAAATATGCTCATTACACACTTTTATTATCAATATGCTAACACCAAACTGAAGGTTTTTAGACAGATAGTCATAGGGTTTTTGATGTTTTGGCCAACTTTAATTTCTACCTAGTCAAATGAACCTATTCTTAGCCACCCAAATGTTTTTTGTGTTTTTTTTATTCTACTGCCTTGTGATAGGTGTTATAGTCTTCCTCTGCTAATTGCAAATTGATCATTGATCATTGATATTATTCACCATGCAAACCTTTCACACTTATTTCCATTGGTATTTTTTACAGTAATTTAGGCGCGATTTTTTTTATTCCTTGTTTCACATACTTATTTGTTTTAAAGCTTATCGGAGGAGGGCGGAAAAAAAAAATAAAAGTAAAATTTTCTTATTTAGCAAATATTTTTGCCAAAATCATCCAGATGGAGGAGAAAATATAAACAAAATTTTATTGGTGAATGTAAAATAGGATGCTTAAATGCTTCAAATTTATATAATTAGAAAGAAATATACATATCTTACCTTTGGTGATTTCCAGGCAGCAGAGGGTGTAATAAAGAAAAACCTTTTTTCCCTTAAATTTAAACTATTTCGTGGCAGAGGGTGCATTAATTGGCCCAAAATAAAATTTTATATTTATTCGATATCATTAATATATTTGCATTAATGTTCATTTGAGGGAGGAGTTTTTCCAAATGAAGTTCTGGAGGCTGAAGTTTAATCGAGGGGGCATTTATTCAAAGCATGGCGTTTATTCAAATAAATATATAATATTCTGTAGAAACCTTCAACTATACTAATATTTTTTTGGTTTTTATTCTGTGCCAAAATTTTGGTTAGTCGCCAACTTACAAACTAACCTGCATGGGCTCATAAACATGGTTGATAACAGACAAAGTTTACTTCAATTCAGTGTGAAGACAGATAGGCGTTTGAGATGTATGTTTTAAAGGGAGTAGTATGTTGAAGTACACTGTGTGTGCGCTGAACCATGGAGATATTGGTCACTGGTTCAATTCCCATCGCTGCTTCAATTCTCAATGCTGCTTTCCTTGTATTTCAGGTTACGATACCTTGTATTTCAGGTTTGGATATCTCCGTTTTTTAATGAGATGTTTAAGCCATTAAAAAATGGCCCATGTGCACAGTAAAGACTGCAATATTTTTAGTTATTTTATTTAATTTTATTGAATAAACTTCTTACTCACGAAAGGTATACAAAAGTGAAGGAAGCGCGTTAACAGGTGACAAACGCCTTATGATTAAAATTGAAATAAATAAAAGAGGAGGGGATTTTCTCCCAGTATACTGTACCACCGGAAGGACTCCATTGGAAATAAGTTTTCTTCACTTTTGTGGGCTATCCATGTTGTTTACGCTTAATAAATCCATCCACCCATAGTATCTCAGATAATCAGATGAAGAGGGTTAAAAGTTAGTAGGCATCAAAACTGAAAGAATTGTTTTATAGCAGCTAGTGAGGTCTGGGAAGATGATTTCATATTTAAAGTGACTTGGCAGGTGATCATGTGACCTTAATTTGATAACAGACAAATATAGCAACAGTTACAGTTATGCCATCATTCCGATGGCGTGCATTTCGATACTTGGAGTATGTATTATACTATCTTAAGTTACAGTTATGGTACAAGATTGCAACCCTGATTTATAAGTATGTTTATGGCTCTGCTCCTACTTATCTACAAAATATTATATCACTTTATGTTGCATTACGTGCTGGCCTTCAGTTTCGAAATGGACACACTCACTCTTGTTTTTCCTAGAATTCACCTTAAATATCAACCAAAGGGCTTCTTTGCCCAGGCACCTGTAACTTTTAATCAGATTACATATAACAGTTAAGTCTTCATCTCTCGAATTCAAGTCTCTCCATAAAATTCACCTGTTCCAGTTGATATTTCCAAAAGTCTTATAGCACTGTGAGACAACAGTAAAGAGCACATTATATATGCTAATAATTACTATTTTATTTTATATATTTAAATATGATTTAATAATTCTGGTATAGGCCCACCCTCCTTGGGAAAAAAAAGAAAAAAAGTGGCCTGATTTTGGTGGTTTGCCTTATGCCTGCGGAAATTTAGCTATTAAATGTACTCATTCAATTTATACCATGGGCTTTTGCCAGAGGCAAGGCTAGTACGTAAAATTGGCTGTATTGTAGCGGGTTGGCTTATACCTGAGGTGGGACTACAGTATACCCAAGGGACTACATTACTTAAAAAACAGAGTTTACAATTCAGATACATGTCTCTTTCTAACTGAAGACCCCTCCAATTAAAGACCACCTCCAATTAAAGACCACTTTTCTGTGGTCCCAAATTACAGTAGCAAATGTCTTTTATCTTTATTATTCTAATTAGAGACCAAAGCTGCTAAAAACTGTGGGAACCCGGGTCCCAAAATTGGTCTTTTGTTGGAGGGAGGACTGTATTCAATTATATTTTTCAAGTATGCAAGTTTAATATTGAGAACATATCCTTTAAGTTCTACTAAGTATTCTATTTTATGTTCATAAACCATGCAAGAAATTCATTTCTGATACTGATTAAAGATGCTACTCACATTAAATGACATAAAACTTACTACTTGGTTCAGGTGATAATAACTTTTGTTAAGAAATTTAAAAGCCTAGAAGTAAATGCAAACATAGATTGGTAATAAATTAATTTTTTCCAGTAAATATGCACTCCAAATAATTTTTGCAATGCTTAAATAACGAGGAATACATTTATATATGTTTTTGATCACTTTAAGTACTACAATATTTTATCTTACGACAGGGAAAAGTAATGATCACTGTCACAATATATTCATACGTTCATAATGCTTCCTGCCATATTTAAATTTACAGATGTAGGACAAAAATTAAATTAACAACTTTTTGAGAAATTATATCGAAAGTGGCAGGTCATAATTTCAATCACTTATCTTCTATTGAGCATAAAATGTGAATTTTTTTCAGGTTTAATGAAGGGTGGGATATTAAATAGGTTCTGTGTTTTTTTTACAGCTCTGAGAATTGCTCGGTTTTGATGGTCATGAAACATGTCGCCCGAGGGCTTCTTATAATCCTTACGATAAATTTTGTTCTCTGATGCATTTCATTCCCTATTTGATTTCCAAGTAGAAAATCTCAGTGCCAGATCCAGGAATGTGACATAGATAGGCCCCAGGGAGAAACTTTCAGAGATGGATGATCTATACCACAACAGCCCCACTATATGATTATGACACTTCTAGATTGCTAGAAATGGCACTCTGAGGGTTTAAATTTCAATATAATTTTCTTTTTTTCTTCCATTTATTAGAGAAATTTAGGTTGCTCAGCCGGCTGTGTCCCCTTGAATCTGCCATTGAAAAAGTACTAAAAATAAACACATTAAAAAAAAATGAAAGTAATGGAAGAACACGAAGCTCGCTCTTCCACCAAGATCAATAGAATCTGTATGATAATTTAATGATTTATTGGCTTTAGTGCTTGCCTTCCAGTGAGTGGTTCCAGGTTCAGTCAATTTCACTAATTTTTACTATATTATTTTTTTAATCATTATTGTTATTATCATCATCATTATTATCATCATCATCTCAGTGGTTCCCTAGTTCAGGCATGTTGTAAAAAATGCTTCATCAATATTTAAATTTCACTAATTTTTAATATTTGATTTATTATTATTATCGTTATTATTATTATTATTATTATAATTATTATTATTATAATCATTATCATCATCTCTATAATTAATTTAATTTTGTTCAAATTTTATTTTCATGTGAATAACAATGGATTACACATAGTTCAAGATTAATACTAGATTAGTTTTGGTTTGAATTTGGGTCCCTTTCCCACAGGGCCATTTTCAAAGTATATTTTGTTTGGCTTTTTCACCTGCTGCATCCATAATACAACTTAAATTTAGTATGTAAGTTTGCAAGTGAAATAATGATATAAATTTTTAAATTGTGAAATGAAGAAGTGCTGAGAATTTTCTGATTTTTGAATGAATAAATATAATGAATAAAATCAACCCGATTCCAATAGCTACATTGTAAGAAAACTTAGTTTAAACTGTATTATTTACATCATTATTTACTATAATCACTTAATTCACTATAATTGTACTTGAGATGGCATTATTATGCACACATGAAATCATGCAATGATAATTTGTTTTTCAAATTTCTATTTTATTCTTCCATTAAATTTTTAACCAATATTTGTTTTCCTTTTTTTAGATTAAGAAAAGAATTGAACTCCATCTTGGAAGCTAGCGGTGATAAACTCTCAGTAAATGACTTCATCATTAAAGCTTCTGCCCTTTCCTGTATGAAAACTCCGGAAGCCAATTCCTCGTGGATGGATGATAAAATACGACAGTAAGTTTTCAAATAAGAATTTTTATTCCTAGAAGAAACTTAATGCATTTTCCGTTCTTCTGCAACTTCAGTGTTTCATGAAATGAGTCATTAATAGCCTCCCAAAAGAGGCTAATTGTTCTCAGAAGGAAGGCCATCGTTTTCTTGTGGTTCATTTTGATCATCGTTGTTATTAAAAAATTTTTTTTAGAACTCGCAAGATGACTTATTGACAGTTCAAGACCTTAGCATCCTTCATTATTTCTCTCATGGTGCTGTGAAACCGATTATAAAATGCCCTTTAATATTAAAGTTTAGATTTTTATTAAGGAATTTGTTGAAACAATTAGACGATCATAAAAAAAAAATTAAGGCATATACAGGTACTTCTAATAATTTGTAATTAATAATAATAAGACTTGTAAGATGACTTTTTGACAGTTTATAACCGCTCTTGACTTTACCTTCCATCCTTCATTTTTTCTCTAATAGTGTGTTAAACCAATTATAAAAAGCCCTTAAATATTAAAATTTAAATATCTATTATTATAGAATTTGTTAAAACACTTAAATGATCATAAAAAGTAAGGCATATACAGGTACTTCTAATAATTTGTAATTAATAATAAAACTTGTAAGATGACTTTTTGACATTTCATAACTGCTCTTCAACTTACCTATGCTATCCTTCATTTTGTCTCTTACTTAAAACCAGTTATAAAAAGTCCTTTAATATTAGACGATCATAAGAAAATTAAGGCATATACAAGAACTTCTAATAATTTGTAATTTATAATAATAAAAATAATAAATTGTAATTAATTCTCTTAATAATTATTATTGTTAAAATGTATGTAATTATGCTTAATTATTTGTAATTGATTTTTCTCTATAATTTCCTGAAGGGTAAATACATTTAAATTTATTTTGATTATGAAGTATAAGATTTTAAAATATATAGGAGAAAAACAATGACTATCCTAATTAAATAAATGTTGTATTTATGTATAAGTAAGTGGTTGGAAGTAACAAAACATTAATATTTATCAAAAGTAATGAAAGCATCATTAAATTTGTTATTTTACCATAAAATTCTGATTCTGGAAATGTCAGTTTATATGTAAGTTAAGTAAATAAGTTATGTAAATAGTATAGTGATGGACACTCTACCTCAAAATCCTATCAACTCGGGATAATTTTGTTAAATAAACCCAATAAAGTACTGTATTCTCATTTACTGTAATTATGTTGCCAGGCGAATTAATCACTACACAGATAAATTGCATAGAATAAGTTTTAGAAGTATATGTATGGCGAGTCCAGTGGCCGAGCAGTAAGCCCCTAACTACAGCCTTAACATCGGCGCTGGTTCCAGCTGTTCCTCGCGCAGGGTTGGTTGGTAGAACCAAGTCTTCTCGGATAAGGACTTAAAATAGAGGTCCAGTTTATGCATCTGGCTTAATGTGTGCTTTTTTAAAGAACCCATTGGATCTTTGGAAGTGTAGGGGGTTACCCCGATGCTATGGTTCATTTCAGCCCCTGTTGTTGTAGAATGATGGGAACATGTAGCTACTATAAGCGCCTCTTTACGGCCGCTAGGTACTCATGGACCACGCCCATAGACAATTCAGCACAATGACGCTGCGAGTTATGAGTTATTCTCCTACCTTTAAATACCTTTACCTTTATATGTCCTCTGGGGCTATTCTTTTTTTTGCATTAAGCTCTTTACCATAATTATCATTTGAAGTCTGTAATTAATCCATGTTAGCATAGGTTGGACTGTGTTCACCATGATAGCTTTCCTCCAGTCATTTCTACTCTGCACAGTTGCACGGCTTATCCTTAGCTTGTGGAGGTCACTGGCAAAAACTTGCTTGCATGTTTTTCTATGCTTCCTCTACCCCTCAACTTCCATGACCCTACAATTATTATTATTATTAGTATTATTATAATAGATGGTTTTTAATAACGATCCGTTCAGACGGCCACCTACAATCATCAAACGGAGTCGCATGGTCTAGCGCTCAAAGGAAGCGGGATTGGATTCGTCGTGCAATGGTCATACTATTATTATTATTATTATAGTATTATCATTATTATTATTGTTATTATTATTATTGTTATTATTATTATTATTATTGTTATTGTTATTATCATTAATATTATTATTGTTATTATTATTATTATTATGTTGTTACTAAAACCTACCTTAAGGGGAACTTAGACAATGGAGAAATTAGAGAACAATTAAAAAACGACATCCGGAGTAAGGTGTGGATATGAAGACCATCCAAAGGAAAACGTCCTAGACCAGGAACTTCAAAAATGGGTCAACTGATCAGAATGGAACTTTCGGGAAAGTTTAACCAAGTTACAAAGAAGACATTATTATGTGTTGGGGACGATCCATGTTAGGGTGAAATTTATGGTCATTTATTACTTACGTCCCAGTTAAAAATGGAAACTTTTGCAGAATATTTTTTCATGGTCAAATAAAGAAATGATCAAATTTGGGTGACAATCCGCAGTAGGGTGTGGATATGAGGACCATTTAAAGATTTTTTTAGACAGTTGACTACATTTTATAAATGCAATTTGCTTTTTCTAAAGTGTTTAAACCAGCTGCAGCTAAACTCTGTGATATGCATGAATAATTTCAGTCACAGAATCGCTATGAACGGAAAATGCACTGGCCTATACAAAGTCGTCTCATATAGCGTGCGATGGTTATGTTTCTCGATGTACCTTGCTATTACCATTGCAGCCATAGTTTGAGCCTCACTAACGTCGCGGGAGTTGTGAACTTGGTTTCATTGTTTTTTTTACTTCATAATTTTTTTGGTTTTCCATGTTTTTTTTTTTTTTTAACTTTTACTTTTTAGTAACTTTTCTTTTTGCAGTAATTTCAACTTCATTTTTCATTATAGCAATGAGGAAAAGCCCTTTGTTCTGTTGTACAAACAAACGTATTATTATTATTATTATTATTATTATTATTAAAAAAAAAAAAAAAAAAATTACTATTACTATTATTACTATTACTATTATTACTATTACTATTATTACTATTACTATTACTATTACTATTACTATTACTATTAC